GAACCTGTTACAGTCCTTGCTTTCAGTCTTCCTCCTTCAATTGGGAGTTAGCCCTGTGCAGCAAAATGGCATTGGAAGGGGAACTCCAGCAGCCTGGGGGTTGGTGTAGCTCTGTCACCATCCCACTGTGTCAATTTACTCAAGACTTCTCCCGGAGTCTAGATAGTTTCCTTTTCTGTGACAAGATGACAAGGAGTTTGCATCTCCTAACAGGACTGATTAGTGGATTGCTGGGAATGGCAAATGGGAGGTGAAGGAGTGGGCTGTGCTTTGTAACCTGGTAAGTGCCCCATTGGGTGAAGGGTGTCTGTTGATTTGCATTTCTTTTGATGTTGGTACCTTTAACTGAATTTGAATTGTTTACCTTTCTGGCCTAGACTATAGAACCTGGCTAGTTGAAATTCCCAAATAATCCAGAACTGCTAACCACTAGCTGACTGGAGGCAACATTTTAGGTCCCTGAACATCAAAGGTTGGCTAAAAGAACAGCTAAAGCCTCCTGTGAGATAACTACATAGTCACCCTCATTTACCACTTGGGGGTTTTGAGGCCCAAGGAGTTTTGGTGACTTAACAAAAAACAAGGAGTTTTGCTGCTGGAAATTGTCCAACTATAGTTTGAAGAAAATATTTTAAAAAATTAGTTGCTATGTTTTTGAGCCTCTGCTATTTACTGAATTTTATTTAGTATACATATATAAATTGGTTTTGTTCCTTACAATGGTTTTTAGAGATAGACACTCTCAATAGCCTCATTTTCCAGTTGAGGAAACTGAAGGAACTTGCTGGATTTCTCCCAGGTAGGCAGAGCTGATTATAGTGCAGAACTGGCCGACTCTTGTTGAAGGGAGGACTTCCTATCCTTAGCATGGCTTCCTTAGTTACCATGCCCCCATATGCAAGCACAAGATGGGCGCAGAGTAGTCTTGCCCCCAGGAAAGCTGCTTAGTGGAGGTCTACAGAAGTATGACTGGTTAAGGTCATGCCTCTGGAGCTACTATATGAATCCAAAGACTTCTTCCCTTAACTCTAAGTTGGCTGAACTGGCCCTAGGAAGCTGGGCTAGGAGCAAAATATGTAAGTCTCAGGCTGCAGCTGTTTCCTCCTCCTAAGAAGGATTCCTGGGGCAAGTTTCTGTCTGGTCTCCTGCTTGTGTTTTGAGAGGAGGGGAGGAAAAACATGTTCTGCCCTAGCAGCCAGCCTTCCACTGGTCCCAGCATGACCTGAGGCTGGTCCTGGGAGCAGAGATGACCATATCACACTCCCTGCCATGACAGAAGCAACTGCAATAAACAGCAGGGACCACAGAGTACCCTTAGAGTGTTCCCTTACCCACCAGTCCACCAGAAACTTAGCCAGACAGGTTGAGAAACCCAAGGGTTGAGGGGCCCTGCATCTGGCAGGACCACTTTCTTGGCAGGAACCATGAGGGGAGTCAGCTCCAACCTGAAAGGGTTACAGAGTCTGTCCCTTGCAGTCCTCTGCCTTCTGCCCCACTTCACTCTACTGGCCAGTTGATTCTATGGTCCCAAATAAAGGCACATAGCCCATTAGGGAAGGACAGCAATGGGACCAGGTAGGGTAGCAAGGAGTGGAGAAGGGATCTGGGCCAGAGGTAGCTAGATAGGCTGGACTAGGGGGATACCAGCTATGGGTGATCCTTGCCACCTCCTGTTCTGCTGTCTTGGGGAGACATAATAAACATTATGGGTGGCTGTAGGGAGGTACATGCCCTGGGAAGGACAAGGTAGGGAATGGGAGACAGTAACTTCAAGGCTGGTCCTTGCCAGCAAAGATGACACCCTGGTTCTACTTAGGAGGAAGGCCTGAAGTTGTAGGGAGAGAATCCCAGTCCAGAGATATGCCTGCCTAGTTCACCCACTCTCACCACACACACACTTTTAAAACTACCCTTAGCAGAGGACTTTATATAAATCCATGCTCCTGTTTTTAAAATCCCCCACACCTGGCTCTTCCTCAGAATGGCCAAGGCAGCTGGTCCCTCCGGCTCCTCACAGTGAATGCCTTTCCCAAATAAGTGGCCTTTTACATGTGGTCTACTACTTTCTAAGAAACTGGGATCTGACTTGGAAGATGATAATAATAACAGTAATGTTAATCTTTCTCATTTGCACTGCACTTTACTGTTTACAAAGTGTGTTTAGTGTCCATTATGTCATGTAATTCTTATACCACTCTAGTGATCTCCATAAGTTCTCAAGCCTAAGAAGGGTGCCTTGGCCTGTTTAGGGTCCCCTAGCATGGCCTGGAACCCTAACATGTGTTGTGGCTCCTTCCACAGCACACTGAAGATTCATGTGGCAGGGAGGGGTACAATGTAGAAAGTAGTGGTCTGGCTTTTACCCCAGTGGAGCTCAGGAGCAAGGTTAAGAGAAGGCCCATAGGAACTGTCTTCTAGCCAGGGCATCAAGTTTCTGGAAAGCAACCGTCTTTAAGATTCAATTTGCCTAATCTCCCCATTCATGGGAACTCCATCCCCAAACCCAGCAGGGAAATTCAGCCTTCTGTCCACAAGGATGTTTATGCCTGTGAGGTTTTTCTCTTGGTCCTTGGTCTTCCTGATGCCCAGCCATACTTACTAGTCTCATTCATCCCTTCCCCTAAATTATTGCCATTTCTACTAACTCCTGTCTGACAAGGCCTAGATTGAATGCCTTCTCCTCAAGGTAGCTTTTCTGAGCCTGGGGGGTGTCTTTCTGCTTTTCAGATTTATCCTGGGATATGATAGCTAGGTATAAAGAACAATATTCCACCATGCATCTTAAGATGGGGGAATCTTCTTTAAGACCTGTATTACGTTGTATCCTACATATAGGTACTCCCCCCAAAAGCACTAGCTAGGGGTTCTCCCTTCTTGGCCTGCCTTGCAAAACTAATCTCAATGTCTATTACTTACCAAATGTTTAGGAGAGGTTGAGTTTCATAAATTCCACAGAGGGGAATACAATTTCATAAACAACTCCACTACTGCTGTCCCATCTCTCCCATGTCTAGCACCATAAATGACAACACTGTCAATATTTTCAGGGTTGAAATTAAAACATCTCTGTATTTATTTATTATTAATTAATTAATTATCTATCAGATAGATGATAGGGCCCCTGTTCCCATCCTATCCCTGAGGAGAGGACTCTGAATGGTTGTGTGTGTGTACAGGATTGTGTATTTTGAGGTGATGGTGGCAGTGTTTACTGTAGGGATAACTCTTGTGGGGGAGGGGGAGCTGAGCTGGAACAATATCATGTAAAAATATGTCATCCAGGAAAAAAAAACAAACCCTAACCTGAGCAAATGATATTACTTATCTCTACAGAGAAGGGATCAGGTGATATCTTTTCTCTTTTATTTTCTGGATAACCAGCCATTATCTTGCTCCAAGTTTAATATTCAGTTATGCAGAGTGCTCCTGATGGAAGGCTTGTCACACTGATAGTTCAACTGTCAAGCCAAGCAAGGTGCAAGGATAAAATTAATGTTTGCAGGACAGGATCAGGGGCTCCAGGAAGGTTCCTCTGATTAGGTCAGGGACTAGTTAAGCTGCCAGTCTCTCTACCCCCAGTGCTGGTCCATAATCTTCCACTGCAGGTGAATATGTGAGTCTTATCACTGTTGCAAACAATTATAAGGTTGATGTGCTGACAAACTACTCCTGGGATACCAGCAGGGCTTGCCTGTCTCTTTCTGGTTCCTAGCAGTTGTTTTGCCTCCTTTGTTTACCCTAGCTCCCTGTCTACTAGTGGCTATCCTACAGAGAGGGGACACAGTGGTGAGGAACTTTCCAGAGATAGGTCATCAGGTTTTAGCAGGCTGGTCATTGATCCATCTGTCAACCAGCTGGAGTCACTAGAATGAATATTTCAGACTTGGGGTGGAGGACATGTGTTGGGGTGGGTGGTGAATAGTCATTTTTATTCCATCTCTGTGGCATTTGGATGTTTGGAGAATTGGGAGACCAGAAGGGTGTGCCTTGTACCAGGTTTATTTATTTAATGGCTGTTGAGAGCCTAACTTCTAGGCTAGGAACATGAATCATGTGGAGTTATGCCTTCAAGGAGTTCCCTTTCTAGATAGGGAGCTAGATGGGGGCCAAAATAATGAAGGCAGTAGAGAAGAAATAGTTTGCCTCACAATTCTAAAGTGGAACATGGGGTTCCAGTTGCCAAGAGCCACATTAAAAATTTTTCCCAGCAGAACAGTCAATAGAATCTGACCTATACCTACCCCTCACATAACCATTATGAGGGGCAAGTATTGCTAGGCCTCTTGGACCAAAGATACTGAAGTCTAGAGAGTGCCTTGCCTCAAAACCACCATGTGCTTTTAAGCAGATCCTGGATTGCATCTCTGGAATATGGATCTGTGAGGTTCCTATTCTGGGCTTCTGAAGGTCTGAGTCTGTGCATGTAGGCAATCTAGGGAGCCTATGGAGAAGAGGTGTAACTTCAGGTATACTTTTCTTTCTAGCCCCAGGAAAAATGTCAGTGAGAACCCAGACTAATGTGAAATTGAGGCCTGGGTCCTGCAGAGACCAGTGAGGACTCAATGGGCTATTTTGCCAAATGATCTTAAAAAATTTGTCATCAGAGCTGACCTCCCTGCTGCCTTTCCAGCCTCTCCCTACCTTAACCCTTTGATAATTCCTCCTGCAGTCAGTAGCACAAGTGAGTATTTCCCACATCTGCAGATACCCCTGGCCAGTGTTAGAGGACTAGGGTGGCCTGAAGGGAATGAACCCAATGAGGGGCTGGGCTGATGGCTGTCTATTGTTTTAATGTAGGGTTTTGTTGCCTTGGGGCCCAGAGGAGGCTGGCCCAGCAAGCCAACCATATGGAATGCATTAAGTTTTCCCTACATTTTATTTTACTTTCTTTCTGGTTCTGGTTCCTCTCAAGTCTGAAATAACAGACACCTATGAAAACAAACCCAGCCTGGCTGCTTGCTTACCGGTATACTCTATTTTTTTCCTCTTATCTCCTCTAGGGATCCAACTGGGATGCTTCCTGACTGATGATGTAACACTGCTTGGAAGCCAGAAGGCTGCTTTTCCAGCTGAACATACCTAAGTTGTCCCTATCACCATGGAGACTGGAAAGGATGAAGCTTCTCAGGCCAAGGAAGCAGTAGCCTCTATGGACACCCAGGACCAAAGGGCAGAGAAAGGAGCCAAGAACAAGGCAGCTGAGATAACAGAAGGGACATTATCAGAGCCACCATCATCTGGTCCAGGTAGGCTGAGGAAAACTGCCATGAAACTTTTTGGTGGCAAGAAGGGCATCTGTACCCTACCTAGTTTCTTTGGAGGAGGGCGAAGCAAAGGTTCTGGAAAAAGCTTCTCCAAGAAGGATCTTAGCAAGAGCAAGACCCACGATGGCCTGAATGAAGCAGCTTGTGGCCCTGAAGATATTATCAGTGAAGGAACCAGCTTTGCCTTACCCTTGCCTGAATCACCCTGCCAACTTCCCAGTTCCCAGAGTGCCCATGGGGTTTTGGAAACTGGCTCCAGATGCAAGACATCTGCAGCTGGAGCCACAGAGAAAGCTGGGGCTGAGAAGGCTCCTTCTGTGCCCAAGCCAAAGAAAGGACTGAAAGGTTTTTTCAGCAGTATCCGCCGTCACCGGAAAAGCAAGGTTTCTGGGGCTGAACAAAGTGAGCTAGGTGCTAAGGGGCCTCGAGGGGCCAGAGCCAGGCCTCAGGAACATGTGAACTCAGCCATTCTGGCCCATACTGAGGATATCCTCCAAGCCCCCAGAAAGGAAAATGCCAAACCCCAAAATTCTACTGGTCCAAAAGTGACTTTAGTACCAGAGCCTTCTCCAGCAGTCACTGAGAAGACAGCCTGTAAAGATCCAGAAAAACCCAAGGAGGCCTATGCCTCAGCACTTCTGCAGCCCAAGCCTGCCTCTGAATACAGTGGCCTAGAGGAGTACCACAGTTCAGAAACAGGGGAGAAGGTGGAGGCAGAAGAGGTAAATCCACCAAATGGCCATGTTGGGGACCAGCTAAGCCTCTTGTTTGGGGATGTCACATCCCTGAAAAGTTTTGACTCACTGACAGGTTGTGGTGACATTATAGCAGAGCAGGACATGGACAGTATGACAGACAGCATGGCCTCTGGAGGCCAGAGGGCAAATCGAGATGGGACCAAGAGAAGTTCCTGCCTGGTGACCTACCAAGGAGGTGGGGAGGAGATGGCTTTGCCAGATGATGATGATGAGGAAGAGGAGGAAGAAGAGGAGGAAGAGCTGGAATTAGAGGAGGAAGAAGAGGGTGCCAAGGAGGAAGATGATTATGACTTAGAATATCTGTGGGCAAGTGCCCAGATATACTCAAGGTCCAATCTGAATTTGGGCTACCATCCTATCACATCCCCAGGCCACCATGACTACATGCTTCTAGACTCAATTCGATCTTATCCTGGCTTAGCCCCTGGGGACCTTTTGACTCCTCAGAGTGACCAGCAAGAGTCTGCCCCAAATAGTGATGAAGGTTATTATGACTCCACAACACCTGGATTTGAGGATGATTCAGGTGAGGCCTTGGGGCTTGTCCGCAGGGATTGTCTACCCCGAGACAGCTACAGTGGAGATGCCCTGTATGAGTTCTATGAGCCGGATGATAGTCTTGAGACCTCCCCACCTGTAGATGACTGTCTTTATGACCTTCATGGTCACAGCTCTGAGATATTTGACCCCTTCTTGAACTTTGAGCCCTTTTCTTCCTCTCGGCCACCTGGGGCAATGGAGACAGAGGAAGAACGGCTAGTGACCATCCAGAAACAGTTGTTGTATTGGGAGCTTCGGCGAGAGCAGCTTGAGGCCCGAGAGGCACAGGAGGCACGTGCCCGAGGGGCTCACACCAGGGAGGCCTATACCCAACAAACTCATGCCAGGGAGACCCATGCCCGAGAAGTTCATGTCAGAGAGACCCAAGCCCGAGAGGCCTATGCCAGGGAAGCCCAGGCCCGAGAGGCCCATGCTCAAGAGTCTCAAGTCCAAGAGGTTCAGGCATGGCAAGAGAAACCCATCATGGAATATCAGATGAGGCCTTTAGGCCCATCAGTGATGGGCCTGGTAGCAGGGGTTTCAAGGGCCTCTCAGACTTCCCATCGGAGAACCACCTCAGCTTTTCCTGCCACTGCAAGCAGTGAACCAGACTGGAGGGACTTCCGTCCTCTGGAGAAGCGTTTTGAAGGAATCTGCTCCAAGAAAGATCAAAGTACTTGTCTGATGCAGCTCTTCCAAAGTGATGCTATGTTTGAGCCAGACATGCAAGAAGCAAGCTTTGGAGGATCTCCCAGGAGGGCCTACCCTACTTATTCACCCCCTGAGGAGCCAGAGGAAGAAGAGGTTGAAAAGGAAGGGAATGCCACTGTGAGTTTCTCACAGGCCCTTGTGGAGTTCACCAGCAGTGGGAACATCTTCTCCAGCATGTCCTGCAGCTCTGACTCTGACTCATCCTTCACTCAAAACCTCCCTGAACTGCCCCCTATGGTTACTTTTGATATTGCTGATGTGGAACGGGATGGGGAAGGCAAGTGTGAAGAGAATCCTGAGTTCCACAATGATGACCTTGCAGCCTCCTTGGAAGCTTTTGAGCTAGGCTACTACCAGAAACACACATTCAGTAACTACCATAGCCGATTCTACCAAGGTCTGCCCTGGGGTGTGAGCAGTCTCCCTCGCTACTTGGGACTGCCTGGCATGCACCCTCGGCCTCCACCTGCTGCTATGGCCCTCAACAGAAGGAGTCGCTCCCTGGACACTGCGGAAACCTTGGAACTGGAGCTCTCCAATTCCCACCTTGCCCAAGGGTACATAGTGTCTGATGAGCTTCACGCTCAGCAGGAAGATTCAAATGAAGAGGAGGAAGAAGAATGGGGTCGAGACAGTCCTTTGTCCCTTTATACTGAACCACCAGGGGCCTATGACTGGCCTGCCTGGGCTTCCTGTGCTCTCCCAGTGGGACCAGGCCCTGCCTGCATAACTCCCAACCAGTTGGATGGGTCTTCTGGCCAGTCTCCATATGCCTGCCAACAGGCAACCTGTTGCATACCTCCTGTGGCCATGTCAATGTTGCTGTCAGTACCAGATCTAGAGCCAAGGGCACCTGGGATATTCAGGCCTCAGCTCTCTCGGCCTACACACCTACCCCTGCCCATGGTCCCTTGTTATAACCTGCAACCACAGGCCTCTCAGAGTGTGAGGGCCAGGCCTCAAGATATGTTGCTGCCTGTCGATGAGCCCAGTTGCTCCTCTAGTTCTGGAGGATTCAGCCCCAGTCCTCTGTCCCAGTCCAAGCCTGTGGGCATCACTTATGGCATCCCTAAGCTGCTCAGGGTCCAGCCTGAGCCCCAACAGCCTCAAGCCATTCACTACAGGGCTTCCAGCCTTGACCTGTCAAAGGAGATGGCTGAGCAAGGTGCCTCTCTCCCTCTTCCCACCAGTTACTCCTCCACTGCTGTGAATGGAAAGCTAGCTGAGTAGTTGTCATCTGTTCTGGAGTGGGGGCATGGAGCGTGAGCATGTGAATGGGGATCAGGGGTTGGGCAGAGGGGAGGGGGGATGGGGGTTGCTATTTAACTTGAAAATACTTTTGGCCAAGGAAAGCTCCTGTGAGTTTTTGCCTTTGTTTTCCCACTTCCCTCTTCTGCCAATCTGTGGTTACATTTGGCTTGAGTACATCTGCCCCAGAAGGCTGCTGCTGCTCTGTTGCTCCAGCTTCTCCTTTTGGGGTTTCTTGTTACCCATGTAGGATTTGGGATGCTGTACTTCTGTGCCTATTCCAGTTGCCCAGTTAGTGATTATATATCTATATCTATATATCTATCTAATATATATATATATATATATATATATATATATATATATATATTGCACGCATCCTTGACACAGGGTGAACCCTTAGTACCCCTGCCACGCCCCTACATACAGTGAATAATGAGCCACTGATGAGCAGCCAGGTCTGTACTGCTTCCCACTTGAGGACAGGGGGCTTGTTTGCTGTTAACAAGGTGAAGTAATGGTACGGACCCTCCCCACCCCCACTGCCTTCAGTCTTGGCATAGCTGTTCCATTATGTCAGATGATTATAATCTATTCGCCCTAGCTAGCTGTCCTTAGAGAGGATCAAGTAGCATGTGTCTCACTGCCTATTGCTGCAGACTTTGGCATTGTAACCAGATGGGGGCCTTTTAACCTGGTCTGCTGTAGCTTGGGTTAAAGACAAAAATGCTGTCCCCTTAATGGAATGATCAAATTCATTCAGTTGCAAACAGAAGACAAAATAGAGTTCTAGAGTAGATACTGCCATAAAACTTGAGTTGTGGAATGATAGAATTTGTTCCCTTCTTCCTCTCTTAAGCTTGTGATGTCTAAGTTATGGACACTTTTGAATTTTTCTTTTACTCCAAAGGAAACTTTCATAATCTCATCACAAGGAACATATTCTTTTAATTGAGACACAGGAAGAGAAGCAGCCTAAATTAGCCTTGGCTATAGGGGTCAGGATTTTTGTAGTTTGCAGAGAAGGATAGGAAAGGGAGGTCCATTTGTCCCTGCTGGCAAGAGAGATTTTTAGATATTGCAGAGCTCAAGGTAACCCAGTTTTTTAGAAGAGAAAATAGTTTCTTCCCCAGAAGCAAAAAGTTCCTTAATCCTTGCCCACCCCTTCCTTTGGATTCTGTAAAGAGGCTCCAGAGGCACCAGGCTAACACTCCCAAGAGACAGGATACCAAAGGCATCTAGACTGATGTTCTGGTTCTCTAAAGAGCTTTCATCTTCTAATTAACCAAGTCCTTAGCATCCTCAAAGGACCAGCCTTCTTGAGAGGGAAGACCTGCCCTCACTGCCAAGCTGCAGGATTCTGATTTGCATGGCAGTTGCAGTCCTTTATGGAATGAATAGTATACTCACTTCTCCATCCACAGGTTTCATGTTAACCTAGCTTGGAAATACTGGTGAAGAACAGTTGCTGTCAGGAAGACATTGCAACAGGCTAATCTAACCTGGCTCAGCCTCTCATTAATCACCAGTTAGAGAGGGTTCCTTTTAATTTCTTTATTGGAAATAGAAAATGGAACATTTTTTGCCTGGATGTATTGACCCAAATTATATCCTTGCCTCCCTGCCCCTTATCCCACTTATCTCCATGTCTGTTATGAGAAGAGGTCAGCAGGGCTCTTGGGAACAGAGGCTATTGACTCCCTGAGTCAAGGGGGCAAATTTTATGGCAAACATCCTCTTGGCCAGGGAATATATGTGTGCTGGTTTTTATCACCATTTCTCAGATTGGGGTTGTCAGTGCTCCTTCCCACAAAGAGCAAACCTATTTGATAAAAACTTCGCCCCTGGAAGTAACACATGAGTTTGTGTGGCACTAACACTGTTCAAAGGACCCAAACTAACTCTCCAGGCTAACTCCATCTGCATTGTGAAGAATACGTAAGTCATGGAGTTGGAGAAAGAGAGCATGAGGAAGGCCCTCCTTACCCCAAGCACAGCATTCCAGAAGAGAAGTGCCCAAATTCCAGCCATCTAGCCTCTTATCAAAGCTGCCCTGGGAGGGTGGGGTTGATATAGGCCTGGCTGTTTGGCAGGAAGTAAACACCAAATGCCTTTACAACAGGGGAAACCCCACTACTTGCCTCCTCTCTCTGCTTGTCCTTCAGGGCAGTTTAAGCTCCTATCTGCATGTGGACTGTGCCAGCCACAGCAGGTAGTAGAGCCATCACCAGCCTCAAGAGTCTGCTGGCCTCCAGCCTATCTGAGAAGAGAAAAAGTAGATGGTCAGACTTTGGCCAAGGCCAGAGGGTTGCTCTCAGTGAAAAGAGGGCCATAAGAGAGGTGCTGACCCTGAGTGGAATAGTCATTGATCATCCTGACACATTTTTCTCGGCTTTGGAAAGTCAAATACAGAGCAGGGCCTAGAACTGAGCAACATCTAATGGTTTGGACAACATTGCTGTCTGCAATTTCTTTCACTGTCCTTGCCAGCCCAAGGACAGGATTCTCACCACCAAAAGAGGAATGGTCAGGATGCATGGCTACAGAAGCAGGCTCCTTTGAGTCTCACTCTATATCCAAGCAATTGATGGCCAAATACTATTTGCAACCTGAAAGAGAAAGGAAGATCTAGCTGGGGACATGTGTTGATGGCAGCACAGGCTGACACTGGGAGAGCCAACTAATCTCGAGTCCTCTCCCCAAAGTTAGCCAGTGCTTGCTTGGTTAGCACCAGATATGCCTCAGACTACTAAAGGTGTTGATGTCAAGCCCACATATCTTAGGCTGTGACCAGATGAACACCATATCTGCATTGCAAGGTACTGGGATAATGCTTGTGGATGTGATTTCAAAGGAAGATATGATTGGAGAGGAGGTGTCTGCTGTTATCTTGCTACCCAGTAGGCTTATCTAGTGCCAGACAGCTCTGTTCTTGAGAATTCTCAGAGGAAACCAGTCCGTGGGGGAACCAGTGACTATGGATAGAGAAGGCCAACTAGCAGGCTTCTTTCCGGGCTACCAGTTTCTCAGTGCATTAGCACCTTCAAGGAAGCCCTGCCTTGGGGCACTCAACTTGGACGCCTGTTCATAAGCCTCATGAGCCAAAGGCTTTGGTAAACACTATTTTCTCTTCTTCCTCAATGCTATACCAAGCAGGGCAGTAGCTTCCTACACCCAGGATGTGTTCCTCTCCTGTTGCCAGCAACTTTCCCACCCTTGCCAGTGCCACCACCCCACCCACCCTCGGCCCCTGGGCCCAATTGCTAGAGGGAGGCATGGGGGATTTAGCAGGGAGACTTCAAGTTTACCCATGTGTATGTTACATCTAAGTTGTGTGTGTATATATAGATATATATATACACACACACACACACATACATACACACACATATATATTCAATTATCTATTTTTGTATTGTTTGAATTTTATATTCATGGAAAACAATGTTTATCAATTGTTCTTTTCTGATATATTTTATTTTTAAGTGGTGCTGTTTACAGTTTTAAACAAAACAAAGATGACAGAAAAATTGCTGCTGCTTGTGCAGAGGGCTGGCATCTCAACTGCCTAGGGTCCTCACTCTTTCCCCTCTCCTCACTCCAATGTATCTTACTGTCCATCCCCTCCCTTCACGATAGGGACAGCAAAAGATGCCCAGGTACTATGACAAATGCCAGGTGTCTCAGGCATGGAGAACCTGTAGATAACATGTTTATGGCTTTATTTTTTCTTTTGGGCCCTTCCCCTTCCCCATGTTTAGACTGTATGGAAGTACCCATCCGTCCCCTCTCCCTTCTCTCTCTCCCCGTGTCCTTTTTATATTTTGTGCTTTCATTTTGAAATGACTCCCCATGTGCTATTTGTCATGCCAAGTTTCTCCAAAGGATCATTGGGGACATTCTACACCCAGTGGGGAGGACATGGAGTTTCTATCATGCCCCCTTTCCCTGAGAAGCTGAGGAGACAGATAGCAGTGATGCTTCAACCACCATGAATTGGCCATCTCATTGGGGAAACCCTTGCATGGGACTTTCCAAGAACTCAGTTGACATTTGCCCAGAAGAGATGTTGGAGAACTCCTTGACCCCTTTTGCTGCTTTGGGAGTTCCTCTCCCCCCTACCCACTTCCTCTGCCTTGTCCTGCTCCAGTTCACATATGAATGGTATTAGGGGGAACAGTGACTATCAGGGTTAATGGCTTCCTGGCCCGATTCCCACTTTCCTATCCTACAGTCACTCCAAAGAATAAAATCCACATGGCATGTATATGTGTGAGGCTTGGGCCTACTGAGAGACGGGGCTTTAATTATCATTCTTGTTATTATTGGTGCTTATTTTCCCTGCTATATATGGGGGTGGGGTGGAGATGATACCAGGAATGTATATTTAGCTCATATTAAATAAAATGGCTGGAAGACAGAAGAAATTGGTAACTGCAGTATATAGCCACCCCAGGTGTAAGAGTTTTTTTCTTGCCCAGTGTAAAATGGGGAGCATGGTCCTGGATGTGCCCCAGCTTCTCCTTCCTGCTCCCTGAGACATCACATAATTGTCTGGATTATGACCTCTCAAATCCTAGCTCTCATTGACACCTGGATATCTTGATGCATTGCCTATTTGTTACAAGGTATATTTCTTTTGCTGAATGCTAATAAACTGGGTTCAAGGACTCCTCCCTTGTCACAAAAGTGCATTCTTGTGGTTTGTTCCACAGCAGCATGCCTGTGACCCATGGTTGTTGGGTTTGCCCTTGAAGGGAAAGGGAGAAAGCAAGGAGGTTGGCAGGGGCTGGGGGTCACTCACTGAGGAAACAGAACCCAGAGCTGAAAGTAAAGTAGAGGAAACTTCAGTTCTTCATCCAAGTCATGTCCTGCATCTGTCTGATGCTGTGTTGGTAAACTCTCCAACACACTTTTCACATTTTGAGAACTTCCAGGGGCTGGTTAGCACTTCTAAAATTAGCCTCAGTTCATGCGAGTGTGCTGGCATCCCCACCAGCCAGGAGGGAGAGTTGTGGATCTCCTACTGACAGCTCCCTCTAAAGGAAAGTACTAATGTACTCTCCAGGCAAGCTGCAGGAATGGTGTTCTTCACCCAGGTTTATGCTGGAGATGCTTCCTGGGTAGCTGTCTGCTCCACCTATTCAGCTGTGGGGTTGAGTAGGAAACGTGTTTTACCCTTGGCTCTTGATAAGCCAGGACTTCTAACACTTGCCAGTGGGCTCCCTTGAGTTCTTCCCAATTGCAATGCCCAAGCCAGAAAGCCTGAAATAGTAGCTGCTT